AGCAAATTATATAACGTAATAGACATGTACGTCTTTGAGTAGAGCAGTGGTTGTGGTAGGAAAGAACAAAGTTAACCAGGGTAATCCATTTACCTGTTTGCGAAGTCACATGGGAGGCTAGCGTCACAAAGAATAGTACACGCAAAGTATCCATTATAATATGAACCTCTCGATGGGCACACATCATTTCACATAATATGAAACCTCTGTTATATATAGCATCGAAATGATCAGCTTTAGTCGTCCGTCATTAAAACCATTGATAAATTTCGCTGAAATTAATGAAAGATATACAATTAGTTAAAATACAAATATCGTACGGTAACATTAGCATCCACTATTAGGCCTATTACCCTCTATCTATTACTGAATTACTATTCCAATGGGGTTATTTTTGCGTCAGGAGAAAAAATACGAATGATGTTTTTGCTCAGTACGTTGCCAACTTCACAAGTGATTCGGGTGGGAATCGAACACACGACCTCCAGATACTATCAATACTATTAGCATTGTATTTATATTAGTCGTAGCAGTAGCAATGTAATGTAGTTGGATTTATATAGCCAGTGGCGTAACAATTTATGGGGCCCGGGGAAAATCATGTTGGGCCCCTTGCATAACAGCAGTGGTGTACCTCGGTGGTGCGCGGGGACGCCCTCCACCCCCACAAAAAAAAAATTAAAACAAAATCGCACCCTCGGCTCAGTCTCCCTCCCCAAAATCACCTTATTTTAAAAACAAGCGCCCCTCAACTAATCATCGAGCTATCCCACGTGATCTTCGAGCTCTCCACCAGCTCCCCAATTTCAAGATAGATACGCTACTAACTGTTGTCAACTGTCCCAATAGCTGGCTACGGCTACGGCTTTGATTTTATAAACATATTTTTCGTACGGGCATTTCCTTACCGTACATAGGTTACATGCTTAATCATGCAAGTTCCAATGAAGCTTTGCCAATTTAAATAAACATTATAAAACAATTATTCAATCAGTCGGATCCAGAGAGTACAGTTAGTCCTACCCCACAAAAAATATTTAAAAAAACAAGGAGAGAAGAGAAGAAAATCCAGAAAGAGCACGTTACGTAAGCCTTCTCCAAAACTAAATAAATAAAAAATAAAATAATAATAATAATAATAATAATAATAATAATAATAATAATAATAATAATAATAGTAATGAAATAAATATCATAATGGTCTAAAGCACTTCTAAACAAAGTCTTAACACAACCCCCGCTCAGTGCTTTGCTTGTCGAATTCTTAGTAGCTGGGGCGGATTCTAGGATGTGGGATGTAGCCGGCCAGGGCCCAATACATTATAAAAAAAAGTGTCGTATTCGTATAACTAGTCAAATGCAGGTAGTCGTAGTACGAGGGGTTCCATCTAATAAATCTGCCAAAAAGTGTATCTGTGGGATTTTAGTTTTTTAGAAATTACAGAAAAATTATCGTATTGTTGAGTTTATAGTAGAATGCTGGCTAGTAGTAGGGGACCCCTGGCCTGTCCGGGTCCCATGTGAACTGGGATAAGGCCCCGTAAAGCACGTGCGTTACGCCACTGTTGAGGTTCGGTAGTAAATAAGGTCCGGGGTCCCCTTTGTGTAGGGGCCTGGGGCTGCGCCGCCGAGAGCTCATGGGCGTTAGCTCACTGTATAGCGCTTCGTTTTTCTTTATTTTTTTCTTCAAAAATTGATAAGATCCGTTCTAATTTTGATAACTCATCATTGAATTTAGCCCTACAAAATGATGTTAATTGTTTTGCATTATTTGACAAATTCAAATGTATTTGTTTAAAAGATGTTAGGCCTACTGGTTTAATCATTGGATTGGATGATGTTCATCATCCAATTCAACTTCTACTTCAGATCCTATTCCAACATACCTTCTAAAAAGGCGTTCTAATGAACTTGCTAGTTCGATAATGCACCTAATTAACCAGTTTTTAGTCAGGTATTTTCCAAAAAGCAGTTAAACTAGCTTCTGTTAAACCACAACTTAAAAAAACAACTTTAAATCACGATGACTGTAATTACCCACCCATCTCCAATATATGTTTTGTCTCTATGCTACTAGAAAATGTGTCGCTTCTCAAATGTCACACTACCTCAACACAAATAATCTCACTGAAATTTATCAATCAGCCTACAAAATAGGTCACAGCACTGAAACCGCATATTAAACAAATTATTGAATGATATTTTATTTTTTTTATTGACAATAATTTATCTGTTGCTCTCATCCTTCTGGATTTTATCTGCTGCCTTTGGTAACATTGATCATAAAGTTCTTCTCGAACGACTGTCAAATAATTTGGGTTTCTCTGGCACAGTTCTTAACAGGCGCATAACAGGGGTATTGGGTCGGAGGGGGGGGGGAGATAATAATTTTCCCGGTTAGTAATTTACTATACTCACCCCCCCCCCCCCCCCCCCCCCCCCCACAACCAACAAAAAACA